GTTCCTACTCAGCGCCACCGTGCTGCACCTCCAACCCCCTACCGCACCCTCAGCCCCCAACTCCAGCCTCACCCTGGGTCTCCACCGGGCCATCTCTTTGGACCCCACCCTTGCCCAGGCGGAGGTTGGGGCGGGCAGCGAACACGGGTGGAGGCGGGTTTTCGTGGTTGGGAGAGCTCATCCGGGACCCTCAGGCGCCCGCACAGCAAATGATTCCGAGCTAAGAGGAGATGCGGGAGGGAGTGTGTATGTGTGTGATCGTGTGAGGATAAGCTTTCTGCTCTCAGCCACCTCATTTGTCCCGGTGGTCTGGGTTTGTCCGCCTAGGGTCCACCTTCAGGGCCCTGGAATAGGGCTGGGCCCAGGGAAAGGGAAGGCACACGTGTGTGAGCATATGCTCCTGTCTAGGTGTTCAGTCACTGACCAGGGAGTCTGTGGGCGTCTGAGTATGAGGTCAAGTACTAAGTGGAAATTCTAGGATGAGGGCATGATGATGAGAGCCCTGTGAATTCAATCAGACTTTCTGATGGGGTCCTCTTGGGTGGAAAGACAGCGTCAGAGGTATGTGCACCCTGTGGGTGCATGCAGGTGTGAGCATGTACCCAAGATTTTTGCAGAATGAGGTCCCACATGCGGGGTGTGTGTCCAGGTGTGAAGCCACACTCTGGTGCAGGAGGTGTAGGAGGTAGACCCTGCTGCCTCAGTCTGGGCATGTTTTCTCTACCACTTGCAGCTGTGGAGCCACCCCACTCTGGTCTGCCCCCCCTTGGGGACCTCAGTCCAAATCAGAACTAACCCCAGTGGCCTGTGGAGGTATGCGTGCAGTGACCTCCACCCAGCTTGGTTACTCTGTCTCCCTCTATCCATGACACATTCACTCACATGAGCACCCCAACCTCCCAACCTCGGGTGCCCCAGAAGAAAGGTTGTATGTAGGTCCAGGACCTGCTGAGCTGTGAATGCAAGGAAAGAGGAGCCTGCTCTAGGAGTGGGCAGGTTTCCTCTGATTGGGCTAGGCTTCAGGATATGTCCTGGAGGTTCCTCACACACTAGTGGGAGAGCTTGGGGTTCTCAAGTCCTTGTGGCTGAACTCTTGTCTGCCCCCTGGTTCACTCCGCTGAAGTCCTGGAATCCCACAGTGGCCTGGCCTCAAGTGAGGAGTGCCTGGGCCACCGCCCTCTAAAAGCTAGGCATATTCCTATCGTTCAATTTGTTTGGGGTTTAAAACAATTTCTGGAAAACCTTGTCCAATGTAGCTCTGGGGGAAGGCGCCCAGGGTGGTGCGGGATCCAGCCGCAGCCCTCCCTCTCTCCCACACATCCTCCTGCCAGGGTGCAGTTAACTGAGAGATTTCCTTAACCTTATAACCTCAAGGTGTTGTAAGGTGCGGTCTGGGTCTTATACTCCTGCAGGACATATTATCCCAGACTCACTCCCTTACCTCACCCCACATGGGAGACCGGCAGAGCTGACCCCTTGCTCTCTCCCAAATTCTTCTCAGGCTCCAGCGAGTGGAATTTTCTAAGAGCGAAGGGCCTGGTTTATGTTACCATCACAGACTCCACTCAGGGTCGGAGGGCGCTCGGGCGCCGGCCTGGTCAGCTTTCTGGAAGTTCTTTACCCGGCTCTTCTGCACACCACCCTCTCCCCTCCTTCCCTCCCTCCCTCAGCCTGGTCCTCCCAGAGGGCATCCAGGAGGAACCGCGCAAGGCTCCGCGCTCTGAGGTGGGGCCCCGCTTGTCTCGGCGCCTTCCTCCTCCAGTCGCCAGCCCCCAGGTTCAGAGGCTGGGCTGCCGGGGTGCAGCCCACGAGTTGTGCCAGGGGGAAGGGGCTGCATCCCGAGGCCCCTGGACTGAGTCTGCACGCCCCGTACCCCTGCGCCCCAGACGGCGGGCGGGCCAGAACCCCGTGGCCCTGAAAGTTCTAAAGAACATCACGGAAACGCATGGTTGGGAGTGGAGGGAGAACAACGTTTTGGAAAACTCATTTTTCCCATCAATTAAACAAATTTTCTTTACTCTGAAGGAAAGAGAGAAGTGGAGAATAAAAATGAGAGTGAGGGCACATTGGAACGAGGAAAAGACAGAAAGAAAGGGCACAGAGAATCACAGAGAAACCCAAGGCGACCCTGCCCGACGACTGCAGCATTAATTCCAGATGTTGCCATTCAAAAGGGAAACAAAATCCAAAACCTGTTACCTCCTCTGCAGATCAAACTGTTCCTCAGGGCCTTGACGTCAGTAGGGGAGAGGAAGGTGAAAGCTAAAACTACTCCTGGGGGTCGGTGGCGACCTTGTCTCAGGCTCGGAAGGACCGACAGACGGATGCGCGTCCTGCGTGCAAGAGGATCTGGGGAGACAGAGAGGTCACGTTTTACTTTCGTTTAAAAAAGAAAATTAAACTTCTTGTTAATTCGAAATAACACTGACAAAAAGAATCCCACCACCACGTAAAAGAAATCGAGGTGCTGCAGAAGTGAGGAGAGGAAAGAGCAAGAGGGGGCAAAGGGACGGAATTAGGGGGTGGGGAGAGGAAAGATGCGGAGCGCAAGGGACTCGGAGGGCTCCGACAGGAAGCGCAATCTCAGTTCTCTCCGGACTCCTCTTTAAAAACAAAAAATCCTCGTAAACCACACTTACCCTTCTTGATGACTATCATACCGGGAATTTTAAAATGAAGGACCTGTGTTTTAAAGGCGGCAGGAGGAAAAAACAAAACAACAGCCCCCAACTAACCCAAACGCACCGGACTTGGGAGCATACCGTAACAGAGCCGGAAAGAGGCAGGAAAAATCCTCTTGGCATTTATGCCATATACCCTCTCCCTTCCCCACCCCCGAGTCCCCGTTCCACCCCCACCCCGACCGCGGTAATTGAATTGTCACCTGCCCCTATCCCGCCCCCGGCCACCAGGGCCACTTGGGAAACTCGGCCGTGCCAAGCGCCCCCGGCCAGTGAGAGCGGCGCAGCCAAGCCCGCGTCCCAGACGCCGAGGGGTTACACACGGCTACGTAGAGGCGCACCGGACACGGTAATTAGGCGCAATTCACACGCTCTAGGGCGCACGGAAACTACTTGTCACGGTATTTTCAACGCTCCTCCTAGCCCACTTTTCTCCACTCCTTCCCTGGCGCGCCCCTCCCCTCCCGGGAGGCACTCAGTAGAGCTTTTGGAGTTTCGAATCTTTCGGACACTGTAGAATGCGGGGCTCCCCGGGCGCGGGCCCGGCCAATCAGAGCGCTGTCTGCCTCCCCCGGCCAATGGCAGGCGCCACATTGTTGTCCAATTCTGTCTAATGGAGCCCTAAGGAGCAACAATAGAGCAGGCGAGCGGCTCATTGAGAGTCTGGCAGCGCCGGGCAACTGGGGCGCGGCTGTGCGCAGCGTCCCGCGCGCTCCGCGAGGGGACGCCGCGCGGCGAGGGCCGGGTCGCGGGCTCCAGCCAGCCGGTCCCTAACCGGTCCCCTGGCTCGGATTTCCGACGGAAGGGTTGGACTGCGCAGCGTTCTGAGGGGGTCCGGAAGTTCGGACATGGTGACTGAAGGAGGGTGACGTGGTCAGATAAGGGACCAGGGGGCAGGGGGAAGAGGCCAAGAGCGCCAGCAACGCGAGCGGAGCTGGTAGGTGCGTGAAGCGCCGGCGGAGGAGGAGGATCCCGAGCCCAAGGCAGGTAGTTGAGGGACGCAGGGAGGGCAGGGGAGGCGGCCTGGCCTGAGGGCCCTGTTGACGAGGCCCGGGCCACGCCGGCCCTAGGGACTTCGCGGCCCAGGGGCCTGAGGGAAGAGGCAGCTCAAATAGGGAAGGGATCTAGGATACTGGGGCGGAGACCCCAGGACTCTGGCCCGGGCTCTGGCGGGAACCCGGTGACCCAGAGGAGCCCGGGGCCGAAGCTCGGGGCTGGGCCTGCTTGGGCCTTCTGAGGCCGCAGCACAGGTGAGACTCCATAGCCAGGTCCAGAGGCGACTCCCCTGCCTCGGTGCTGTCTCCTGGGCCGTCCAAGTCCCAGGAACCCAATTCCGAGCCCAGAACTCGAGAACCTGCACCCAAATAGGGTCCCGCGGGGGATCCCAGGATGGGGAGGGCGTGTCTGACGATTCTGTCCCTAAAACCGGAGGGGAAGAGACAGCAGTGTGAGACGCTCAAGGAAAGGATCTCCCTCCAGAAATACCTAACTTTCCGCAAGATACCTTTTCCTTCCCGACTACTCTTCCAGACGACAGGGGTAAAAATCGTGCCACAGGTTTTACTCCACCCACAACCTTTGCCTGCAGGGTTTTTTGTTTTTTTCTCATGCACACCTCTCTCCCCCACGTGAACCCTGGGACCCAGACATCCATATCAGCTGGTTTTTGTTTTCCTCACTCCTCAAGCTAACCTTCTGGCTGTGTTTGCCTGACCAAAGTTTCTTGGGCTTAATTTTCTCTTTAACTCTGCCCCACGCCTACTAAACTCATCACACTCATTTTTCTCCACCATTCTCTGGAGGCCCTCTGCACCATGAAACTTGTAGCCCCCGCATTTTCACGGGTCCCTGGGGCCCCACGGCCTAACTTTGCTCCTGAGATGTTTGTTTTGTTATCTAGCCTTCACTCTATTCCTAGAGCTATTCTTTTCTGTCCCTGATTTTTCTAACTCTCCTGCTCCCACCAGCATAAAAACTTCAGACCCAGCCAGCTGAACTCTATGCCTTGTGTGCTTTGATAGCTCTCTCCTTTTCACCTTTCCACAAAACTGAGCAGTTCGCCTCGAATTTTGTTTTGTTTTGTTTTGCTCTTGGTATCTAGTCTGACTGTTGAGTCAAAATTTTCTCTCTAATCCAAGTCCCATCAAACAGACATTTCTCTCTACCCGTCTCGCCCCAATTAAGCTAAACTTTGGGGGGGATAATACTTTCCTTTCCACACCCTCGTTATATCCACCTGAACCAGTGACTTTTCAAAATTTATCTTTTTTTTTTTTTTTTTCCAGCGGAACCACCGATTCAAACGAAATCTTAGACCCAGCGCATAAATCAGATTTAAGAAGAAGAGCTCTGGTGGGAATAGGGTGGGGGAGCTCGGCTTTACAAGGGGGATCCGAAGGTACCTCCTTCCAGCAATTTGGCAACCACTAGCCAAACTTCCGCGACTTTCCCTCCCTAAGCCTGATCTCCTCGAGGGTACGCTGTAGCTTAGCACACCGTGCGCTCCTCACCGCAAGTCTCTTCCTTCTTCCCACCGTCTTCTACGCCAGGTCCTGCCATGGAGCTGCGCTCCGAGCTGCCTAGCGTGCCCGGCGCAGCAACGGCGGCGGCAACAGCGACAGGGCCGCCCGTGGCGTCGGTGGCGTCGGTGGCAGCGGCGGCGGCGGCGGCCGCGTCGCTACCGGTGAGCGTGGCGGGCGGCTTGCTAAGAGCGCCGCCGCTGTTGTTGCGGGCGGCGGAGAAGTACCCGCGGACCCCCAAGTGCGCGCGCTGCCGCAACCACGGCGTCGTGTCGGCGCTCAAGGGCCACAAACGCTACTGCCGCTGGAAGGACTGCCTGTGCGCCAAGTGCACGCTCATCGCCGAGCGCCAGCGCGTCATGGCGGCGCAGGTGGCGCTGCGCCGGCAACAGGCGCAGGAGGAGAACGAGGCGCGCGAGCTACAGCTGCTCTACGGCACTGCCGAGGGCCTGGCGCTCGCCGCCGCCAACGGCATTATCCCGCCGCGACCCGCCTACGAGGTCTTCGGCTCCGTGTGCGCCGCCGACGGCGGGGGGCCGGGAGCGGGAGCGCCCGCGGGGACCGGAGGCGGCGCAGCGGGCGCGGGGAGCTCAGGTGAGCGCGCCGCCGGGCCGGGAGGAAAGGGAGCGGGGCCCAGGCCTGGGGGCACGCGGCCCAGGGACTTGTCTTGGTACTGAAAGAGTGGAATCCCCTCTTCCAAACGCCCGACTGCTAAGAGTTCGCGGCGCACCCAGGCCCTGATCTGGGGCACAAACACATAAATTCTTTCTCCCCTTTCTGAAGAATTTGCCCTTCACCCCCTTCTCTCACCGCGGGCCCAAATGTAGACGCTGGAATCGTATCTCCTCTACCCAAAGGCGGCCGGGTCCCACCTTCCCTGCTCACTTGGCTCGGTCTCCCCAGCGTGGAACCTTTAACCTTGGTTCTGCTCTTCTCCACTTGCCGTGGTTCCCTTCCCAACTCTCTTCAGAAATCCGGCCCTCTCCCAGTCCTCCTCCCCCGCACCCTCCACCCGCTTTCTCTGGGTGTCAGGAACACCTCTTTCCTTTCCCCGTGTGATTTCTTTTCTCCAGTTCCTAATGCTCCCCGGACAACCGCACGCTGCGCCTGCTCCTTCTTTCTAGCTTCTTTCCCCACTTGTCCCCGTTTTCTCAAGAGTAGGCGCTCTCTCGCTTCCCTCGATCCCCATTCTTCTAACCCCCTACTCCCCGTCTGGCCCCACCCTCCTCTTCAAGAATTTCTCGCCTTTTTCTAGGGAGGGAAGAAATTAAGGCTGGGGCCATTGCGGGGCCTCTCAGCCCTCATCTTGGGAGTAAAGAACTTCTTAGGTTTTAATTTTGGAAAGGGTTGATTAGAAATAGGGGCTCTATTTTTGCCTGCAGAAAGCCTTGGGATCTCTTAGATACCCAAGGTGCCTTCCCTAACAAGCTATGTTGCCCAGGGCCAGAGGGTGCCCAGGGCAGGGTTCGCTCTTGGAATGATGGATGTGGAGTGGGGTCCTCTATACAGTAGGTGGTATATATAGGTGGAAGTTATATTGTCTCCTGCTTGAACTCTGGGCCAGGCCACTTTGCCGGGTCACGGACCCGGCTAGGAAGGAGGATAAGGGTGGAGGTGTTGGGGCACAGATGTGGAAGAGGGGAACTGGACATTGAATTTACAGGGCACAGGTGGTTGGGGTTCTGGTACAGAAAGAGTGCGCCCTGGGGGGTAGGGGAAGTGAGAACTGTAGGGGCTCAGAGAGTAAGGAATGCTGGAGAAAAAAGGAGGGGGCGCCGGAGTCCAGTGAATGAGGGTCCTCAGGTTCAGGAAACTGCGGTCCAAAGGGCTGATGTGCTGAGGGTGCCTCACCTCCCCGCCCCTAATCACGCCTCACATCCCCTTTTCTCCCCTCCTAGAGGCCAAGTTACAGAAGTTTGACCTGTTCCCCAAGACGCTGCTTCAGACCGGCCACCCCGGCAGCCCGCAGCCGCCACCGGGGAAGCCCTTATCACCCGACGGCGCGGACTCGGGGCCCGGGACATCTTCTCCGGAGGTGCGGCCGGGCTCGGGCTCGGAGAACGGCGACGGCGAGTCCTTCTCAGGGTCGCCCCTGGCCCGGGCCTCCAAGGAGGCAGGTGGGAGCTGCCCGGGCAGTGCAGGCCCGGGAGGCGGTGGCGAGGAGGACAGCCCGGGCTCCGCCAGCCCTTTGGGCTCCGAATCCGGTTCTGAGGCCGACAAAGAAGAGGCAGAGGCCGCTCCCGCTCCAGGGCTGGGCGGGGGCCCGGGTCCACGGCAGCGGACGCCGCTGGACATCTTGACGCGCGTCTTCCCGGGCCACCGGCGAGGCGTCCTGGAGCTGGTGTTGCAGGGTTGCGGCGGCGACGTGGTGCAGGCCATCGAGCAGGTGCTGAACCACCACCGCGGGGGCTTGGCAGCCGGCCTCGGTCCCGCCGTGCCCCCTGATAAGGCCGCAGTGGGTGCAGTAGCAGCCGCGGACGACGCGTGGCCGGGCCGCGTCGACGCCGCCGCTGCCGGGGGGCCGGGGCTGCCCGCGCCGCTGCAGGCCGGCCCCGCCGCTCCTCCGCACCACAGACCTTTGCTGGCCGGCGCCATGGCGCCTGGGGCGCTGGGCTCGCTGAGCAGCCGCTCGGCATTCTCACCACTGCAGCCCAACGCCAGTCACTTCGGCGCCGACGCAGGCGCCTACCCGCTGGGTGCGCCGCTCGGCCTCAGCCCCCTGCGCCTGGCCTATTCGGCGGCAGCGGCGCACAGCCGTGGCCTGGCCTTCATGGCTCCCTACTCGACCGCCGGCCTGGTGCCCACACTCGGCTTCCGCCCGCCCATGGACTACGCCTTCAGCGACCTCATGCGCGACCGCTCGGCCGCCGCCGCTGCGGTGCACAAGGAGCCCACCTACGGCGGCGGCCTGTACGGGCCTATGGTCAACGGCGCCCCTGAGAAGCAGTAGGGCCAGGGGCCCGGCACCGGGCCGCCCCCAAACGGGGACCCCAGCCTTGATCCCGCGGGCCGCCGGTCCTTCTTTGCCCGGGGCGCTCTGTGCGCCCCGGCTGGGGTGTTCTCGCTCAAAGGTGATTTTCGGTTTTGTTTTGGAAGGTGGGCAGAGAGCTGAGCAAAGGGGGAGCAACTACAGATGCAGGTGTTCTCGGAGAGGGTGCGTGGTCCTGATCCTCATCCTCTGGCCACCTCCCAAGGCTCCTCCAGCCCTTCAAAAGGCCGGGAATTCTTGAGAATTCAGAGGCTGCGGCCGCCGCACACGCTCCTGCCTCTCCTTTTCCTGTGCTCATCCCACCCGCCCGCTCTCCAGTGGATGGCAGGATAGTCCGAGAATCTGTCTTCTGTGTATCCCTCTCCTTATTAAAATTTTTAAAAAAATGTTCGCTCTAACAAATATAAATTTAGGATGTATAAATCTCTTGACACTGAGTTGAGTCTTTGGGACACACACATATATATATCGATATCAATTGTAAAAAAAAAAAAGGAAACAAGTTCTAAGGTGCACTTTCCTCGTTGCGGTATTTGTCGCTCTCTGTTGCTTATGCCAATAAGCATGGGTTTCCTTGGTGCAGTGTGAGTTTTTATATATGTATAAATCTATATATAATCTATACATATATATATACAAGCCAGTGTATAATGTTATAAAATGGAATTCTAAGTTATTAATTGTAATCTGTAGGTGACCTCGGTATTAACGTGAAAAATATTCAAAAACAAGCAAAAAAAAAAGGACAAAATGGAAAAAAGTAGACTATGCGCGCATTGTACTTATCAGGTTTTATAGATTAAATATATTGTAAACTCGGGACAAATCCTGCCCACCCGCCCCTCTTGCCTGCGGCCGATCTCTCCCTAAGATGCGGTCAAGGTGCGCACTGAAGCAGGAACAGAGCAACGAGTGACTGAGCCAGAACCGCCCGCCCGAGAGCCCATCCCTGCCTCCCGGGACTCGCCAAACCCCCGGCCCGAAGGGACGGCAGCGGGAAACGCTGCTGCAGAGAATGGCTCGCTTTGTGCTTTCCTTTGCATAGACATGAGCTAGAAATAAATGTTATTTTCTAAGAAAACAGCACCGGATCCCGTCCTGCTCCTCGGTAGGCCGGATTGAAAAGGTCTTGAATTCGCGTTCGGGCCCGCGGTGCCAGCTAGACTTCAGTCCGGCTGGTGTCCGACCCTCGGGGTGCGGGCCGGAAAACTTTCTGTGGCGTCGGGAAAGGCCCCGCCGACGGGAGTGGCGCGCGGCTCAGAGCCCCGCGAGGAGCGGTGCCCCCTGCGCCTCTGGGACCCCGCGTCCTTCCCACTCCGGTTTTGGGCGCGCGGGCGCAACGGGTCGCCTTGCCAGTGCTCAGGATCCCTGGATTTTGGGCAGAGCCTCTTACGGAATCCCGAGAGGCTGGAGGCCGGATTTCGGTTCTCCCCGGGCCTCAGATTTGGACACAGCCGGGGTCGCACAATGCGCGCTTCCCTTCTCAAAGAGGTTTGGAACCCAGGTGACAGAGGCGGCGGCTGGGGAGGGAGAGCTGCGACCCTTCTCCCACGAAGGCTAGTGGCCTGGGAGTTATTTTGGGGTGGTAGGGGTGGTGGGGCGCTGCCCTCGCCAAGAGACAGGGTGATCCGAAAGTGGCTGTGAGGATGCGCCTTCCAGCCAGACCTCGCTCAGCACCCTAGTTACCTTCCCTCCTCACTCCCGGCTGAGCACAATAGTGGGTCCCCCGCCGACCCCCTCCTCCAACCGCCCCGGGCCTGCTCTGCTCCCTGCAGGGTGACTCCCCCTCTCCGGGAAACAGGGTGCTCCCTCCCCTAGTCTGGGCCCGGCGACATCCCAAGGTAAACTTCTGGGGCCGGCTCAAGTTCCGCCAGGCGGTGAAACTTAATAGCAGGACAAGAAAACGGTTTAATAAAGAAGGGCTTTAATAGGGAACTAATTTGATTGAGTTGCCTAATTCCACTTTAATTGGAAAGGGGTTTGGCTGTTTGGTTATAAAGTGCGAGGGTGACAACGAGATGGAGGTGGGGCAAGAAGGAGCGAGAGAAGAAAGATGGGGGGCAACAGAAGAGGCGAAAAAGGGAACGAAGGTAGGAAGGAAAGAAGAGGGAGAGAGGAGAAAGAAGAGGGAAGAGTTACTAGAAAAAAAAGAGGAAGGCTAGAGAAGCGCAGGAGCTTTTAGAAGTGTGAACTTTCTTGCCCTTCACGCTGCTCTCTCAAGCCTCCCACGTCCTCCTCCTACTCCAGGTTTTTGGAAGCCTCGGGTCCTCTCTTAGTCCAGGTTCCAGCTGCCGCCTTTCTGGCCTCTGCCTTCATCCCCATTCAAGGTGAATCTAAGATCGCTCTGGGTCTCTTGGTTTCAGGAGGGACTTATACTGAGTCTCCCCAAGTTCCTTGTTTCCTGCTGGTGCTTAAGCCAGACCCCAGGGGTTGGCTTGGGGGCCCACATTATCCACTCTTGAGAACATCCAGAGCTTCAAAGATTTCAAGATTAGTATTTTAGTTCATCCTCACAGCAAACCCGGAATAATCTGGTGAATTGTTTATTAATGGGTCCATTTTACAAAGGAGGAAACTGAGGTCCAGAGTGGTTTATAGACCCGTCCAACCAATCCGGGGACTCTGGACCTCTTTTCCTCTGCCCTGTTAGGGTGAACCTCCTCCTCTCCTGGAGCGGTCTCTCCTGGCTGAAGGTGGGGGCTCTGCAGATCCCCCCATGTACTCCTGCGGCTCAGAGAGGGGAAGTACCTTGCCTCAGCTCCAGGCGGCCAGCGCTTTGGCTGAGCTCAGAATGATTCGTGAGTGGTGAAACTTTGAGAGGGTGGAATAGTGGGGTTCCCAGGTTCTTCTCATCCCCGGCCCTGTGAGTCTTGGTGGCCCAGACCTGGGGATGGAACCCCAGGGCTGTAAGTCACAACCTTGACACCTGGCGAAGGGCTGCACCCATGCATGCCCCTGACCCCACTGCCTACTGAGCAGTCAGGAAGACTGAGGCTCAGAAACTGACAGTGACAGGCCCAGGGTTGTACGTTCAGGTTCTGCAGAGTCAGACTCGGAACCCAGGACGCTCAAGCCAGTTTGTTAGGTGGCAGTGGTGGGAGTGGGGCTGGGCCAGTAGGCGCCTCTGCAGCAGGTGGGAGGAGGGTGGGGCCTGAGCTCCGCTGAGTTCCACTGGGAGGATCACTGGGATCCCAGTCATGGGAGGCAGCAGCAGCCTCACCTCTTCTTTGTGGGGAGGAGAAGGTGGGATGAGAGTTTCCTCCTGACCTCTACAGTCCATATTTATTCCCAAACTTTCCCCTAAGTCTGCTGGAGCTGTGCTTGGCCTGGATACTGGGAAGACCTGGGCCTGATCACCATGGGGGAGCTAGGGCTATTGTAGTCATTAAAACTTACTTTCCTCCTCCTCCTCTTTCTTCATAACAACAGCAGCAGCTACAAATTACTGAGTACCTACTGTGCACCAGGTCCTGTACACAGCACATTTCATACAGATCCTGCTCAGTGGGTGAAAAAGAGCCAAGAGCTGGGATCCAGGCTCTGTTTCTGGCTGAGTTTATTCATTCACAATTACTTCAGTTAGCAAATGTTTACTAAGTACTTACTGTATGCCAAACCCAGTTCTAGGAACTTGGGATACACAAGTGTGCGAGACAGGCACCATCTCTACCCTTTAAAACCTCACAGTGTGTGGGGGTGTGGACAGGAGCAACTAAACAGGCAAGGAGGATGCACTGATCAGTGCCCCAGGGCTCAGGGAGGTCTGACCAGGGAAAGGTGAGTTGGGACACTTCACCTCAGCTTCCTCCTCAGTGAAATGGGGTTGATAGTGACTGTCAGTCTGGATGCTGTGAGGATTGATTGAGAGAATGTGTAAAAAAAACTTTTAGCTTAGTGCCTAACTGACCAGGCACATTCATTATAATCTCAGATACTTTGGTGTGGGTATTGTCCCATTTCATAGAGGAGTACACAGTTCAGAGGGATTGAGTGACTGGAGCAAATTTCCCTTATAAATCCTCTAAAGTGTCACAGGTTATGGGAGGTGCCCTGCCTGAGCAACAGGCCACAGTGAAGGATCATCAGATGGGAGATGCTTCTGAGGGAAGGTGAGGCTGCAGCTAAGTCCTGAGGACATTGGTGAGGGGCAGCATTAGTGATCAGGAAATTGGTGAGGGAAGAGCAGGTGGAGAAGGAGGAGGTGGGGACAGGTGGTGATGTTGGACAGAAGTCAGGGGTCAGATCAAGGGGAACCTCAAGCTCCAGGGTAAGGGACCTAGGTTTCAGAGTGAGGGTACTGGGGGCCAGTGACAGCATGCCTGGTGAGATTTGCATTTGGACTGGATACATTGTTAGGGAAGGCCAAACCCATTTAAGGAAGAGTCATGTAAGATGGTAGCACCCAAAAATGACCAGTGGGGGCAGGGACAGGGAGAGAAAAGGTTGACTTCAAGAACTACTGGGAACCAGACCCTCTACTCTTGATCCAATGGATGCTGGAGGGGAGTAAACCAGGAGGAGGGCTCATGGATAATTCCCAGGTATCTGGGCTGCTTGACCCTTTGCAGGTGACAGAGTTGTGGGCCCTTAGAGCAGAGACAAGATTGGAAGGTGAGGAAAAAATTCCAGTGTTCAACATATAGAATTTGAGGAACTTATGGGGCTTCTAGGTGTGGACACCAAATGGTAGAAAGAGTTAGCATGTGGGTGGCAACAGGGCCTTGGGAGGGATGAAGTGGCCCAACCCTTTCTCCACACTGGACATAGGACTCCTTTAATGGAGGCTGTGGGCCTGGGGGAGGGGGGTTGTTGAGACCCCAGACATTGGAGTTCTGCCTCTCACCTTTTTGGTTCATTCCAAGAAGGCTGGCCTCTGAAAATAATTCTCTTAAAATTTTTCACCCTGTGAAGGTTATTGTCCTGGAGCAGGACCCTGGGAAGCCTGTCCCTGCCTTTATTGTGACACCAATGAAGCTTAAACTTAAGGGGTCCCCACCTGTACAGGTCCCTTTCAAACTTTCCCTGCTTTCTACTCCCTGAAGCTTTAGCTTCAGTGGCTTTCTGCCCTCTCCCCACTTGTCCATCCCCACCTCACCATGACCAATGAGCTCATCAGAGTCACCTAACAGACCATGAACTTTCCTGCATCTTTGCTCATGCAAGTCCCTCTGCTTGGAAAGCCCTACCTTTTTCTTCTACTTTGAGGACCATCCTCACTTGCCCCAAGGCCCAGTGACACCAATGGAACTTAAAGTTCAAGTCTTGTCACTCAGAGAGGAAGATGGTGGTGGAGTAGGAGGACCCTAGGCTTGCCTCTTCCCACAAATACAAGATTACTATCCTAAATACC